AAGTCTCCCATCTCCTGGGTGGTATCAGCCAAGAGTTGCCATCAGCCACAACCAAGGAGTCCTGTGTAGGCTTTGTCCCAAGACCTTTTGTGGTGCTATGGTAGTCTCATTACTGAGTACACCCGGGGGCAGGGACATCTCTGGCAATGCTCCAAAGGTTGGGGTGGTGCTCCACGATTTCCCTCTGCCTGTCTCCATAAACACTGTGAAGCATCTGCCATGTGTGAGGTCCAGAGCTGACTCCATTTCCCCTGACTTCCAAATCTTCCTTCTGTCCAGCCCTAACTCTCCTCTTTGCGTTCTCACTTCCCTTTCCTCCTGCAGCTCTTTCTCCACCAGGGAGCCCCCGACCCCCAAATCTCCCTTGCTCTCACCCATGAGCCATCACGGATTGTCACCAGGAGGCCGCACATCATGAGAACGCAACTGAAATTCTTCATTATCATCCTGGGTGGCTAAGCTGTGAGGGGCCCCAGGCCCCGGCCAGGATGAGAGCAACAGAAGGAAAACAATGATTATTATGAGGTTGTGACAGCAAAGCTGTGTTTGCTGTCAGACTTGCTTTGGAATTGAAGGGGATGCCAGCTGCCTCTGTTGTGAAAACTCCAGAGAGATTGGTCTTCTGTTCCTCAGGAGAAAGTTACAGAACGCTGCAAGTTGTGAACTCACAGAGTCTAAATCAGTGCTAGAGGCCAGGGATTTAGCTCAGTGGCCTAAAGTGGCCTGGCAAGCATGAGGTCCTGAGTTCAACTCCCAGTACCCCCCCCCAAATCAATCAACCAATCAATCAGTGATGGATTTTCTCCCTCCTAATCTTGAATTCAGCCTGTAATCAGGTCCCCCCCACCTGACTTCTACCCGCACTCCCTTCTGCACGTGGCCCCACTTCCTACCTCCTAAGGAGACCCAGGAACTCTGCTCACCGCCCTCCATGTCTCCCCTCCGCTCAGCACAATTCTCTCTGCCCCTTCCACATACTACCCTGCAGCAAGAGGCGGCAAAAGAGCAGTCCTCAAACACCACCCTTATGTCCCCTTCTCCTCAGTAATATTTCTTGGCTCTCTCTTTCCCACCTTATCCCACCCCTACCGCTTGACATCTCTGCTTGGCCTTCAAAAGGCCTCCACCATCTGCCTCCAAATAACAGCAGCACCATTAACAGCAGAAGCAGCAGCCACCTTTTGTAACATCCTCATTGTGTAACAGAGACTTAGAAGCTGGGCTTGCAGATGCCCAGTGGGTAACCAAAAGCAGAATAGAGCCTGGCATCTCTGTCTTCATTTTTTCAACCCATCTCCTTTAGTCCCTTAAAATTTGGGGTCAGATCCCTGTCCAGTTCCACATGTAGGCATGCTAACGCTTAAGGAGCATCTGTTTAATCTTTTTTTTTTTTCTGGTACCAGGAATCGAACTCACGACCTCGCGCTTGCCAGGCAGGCGCTGTGCCGCTGAGCTAAATCCCCAGCCCCAAGGAGCATCTGTTTAAAACGAGCAATACAAGGATTATCAACGCTAAATTTGCCTCTCCTAGTCATTCTCCTTCAAGACTGAAGGCATCCGGTTCAGAGTACAGTAACTAATTTCAGCATTCACAGGTCATGCAACTGCCAGCTTGTACAACATCCAGGTTTAGACCCTTTGGAGGGATTCCTCGAAGTCATTGTCCTAGGACTGCAGTCACCTCGGATTCCAGGAAAAGCAGAGCTTCACGACCGTCCCATGATGAAATGCCCTGCCCAAGCAGCAGCAAATACCCCATGGCTGTCACTTCATGGTGGAAACCCAGCTGCCCCCTCAAGCAACAATGGCTTTCCCAAATCCAGAACTGGTCCAGACCACGATGTCAAGATCACCTATGGTGCCAGCTGTATAATTCCTTACCCCAGCTGTGCAAACCCGCAACCCTCACCTTTGTTCCCTCTCCTAGAAAACCCAAGGTTGGACTCAGCTGCTAGAAGACAGATCTTGAACTTCTTTATATGTCCCTGCAGCACGGCCATGAGGAGTAACACTCCTTTCCTGCCCTTCACCTCTGCTCATGTTCTTGATTAGCACTTTGGGACCAGTGGCCAAGCCTGGTCTACTGGGACCCTTGGAGTAGGGGTCTTTGCCTTAAAACTCCAATAACAGTTTCCAGCCGGAAACTGTGCCAAACACTTACTAGGCATTAGCTCACTTAAAGCTTCACAACCAGGGGTGAGAGTCAACATATTTGGTGACTGACACAGCCCAAGCTCTGATCAGCCAGAGTGGATGGATGGGGGCTGCCACACTGTGCCAGGATGCCAGCTCCGCTCACAGCAATCCTGCAAGGATTGCTTTACAAACATGGAAGTTGGGGCTGGGGATT